AATAATGATAGGTAATAATAATAATAATAATAAACAACAATGATAAATAATGATGATAAAATAATGGGAAGAGGACAGACATGTGCTGAAACCGGTATCACTTATAAATTTCGTTTCTCTCTGTCTCTCTCTCTTTTTCTCCTTCTCTTGTTGATTTCAGAAAATGAGAGCAATGAAAAAAACGAAGACGACGAAGAAACGAAAAAAAAGGAAAGGTAAGTGTTATTGGTAATAATTTATTTTCCTTTTTAATTTAAAAAAAAAAAAAAAACAAAAGTTATTTCCAGTATTCCGTTATTATATTACCATCATCGTTTTATTTCATTACCATTATCATCAATATTGTCATTATAATTCATCGTTGTCACTGCCATCTTCTTCATCATCATCATCATCATTACTGCAATGATCACAACAGAACGCAATCAGATAGGAGCAGTCATCATCACAATTGCCATAACTACCAGCATCATGCGATCATCACCATTACCATCGCCATCACCATCATCGTCATTATCGTTATCATCAACGCAGTCAACACCAACATCACTTATGATAAATACCAGCAATGTTGATTAGGCAGTCAGTTGTGTATACTTTTCTTTTGTTTTTTTTTCATCTTTTTTCGTTTATTTTTTTTTTTGAGTGAACTTGATTTAATTATTTTCATTTTGCTTAATTCTCTAATCATTGTGAAGTGACTTATGCAAATTACGAACTATTATATTTTGGAAAGATAAAAAAAATGAAAAGAGCTAATAAGAACAATGATATCAATTGTTGCATTTTTCGTTTTTGTTAATTAACAAAAGTATAAAAGAAAAGAATGATGGAGTTTAGTGGGAAATTTTGCGCAATTTTATAATTCACCAATTTTTTCCCGATAAAATTTTTATCATTCTCTTTTTATTTTTTTTAGTTTCAGAATCGATTGCGACAAAATATTGATTTGCTAGTGGTTGAGCATTGTGAAAAAATTCATCAATTCGAACGAAATTCTTCAATTGCTTTCAGTAAAATAATTTGTCATTCCAGCAATTCAAATCAGTTTTCTCGAAGAAATTGAAGCGAAAAATTGAATTTTCCATTGCAAAGAAATCGATATTTTAAAAAGGAATGATGAAGAATTCATCTTAATAACTTCAAACTTATCATCAAAAATGCAAAAACAATGTCTAAAATCAAATTCGCCAGAATGTATCTGTAATTCGGATATACTCCAGTTTCCAGCAATAAACAACCAAGCCGGTTGCCATGATGCTAATGAGCCAGAAACTTCAACAGAATTATCAAATCCGGCTACAACACCAACCGTTTCTAATGAACCTTCAAATGATTCGCTTGTTCCTGTAAAATTCGATGTAAAATTTTTCATTTTTAATTTTAAATTCAATTTTTGATAATTATCAAAAGAAGTTAGGAAAACTTATTAATTCCAGAATTTTTTCTTACATATATATTAGTTAATTCAAAATTGCCCATGTTAAACATATTTAATAAGCAATTGTAACACTTCAGAATTTTACTAATAAATTAATTGTTGAAAGGTACATATTGGTTTATTGGGAAGGAAAAGAAATTGCAATTTAAGATAAAAATTAAAATTGATATAGAGAATAGACAAATTTAGTGTAGCAGTTAAAATTTTATGATTTAATTTAACATTTTATTTTAAATGAAAAATTTATCCATAATTTGTTTCAAGCTATGTTTCGAATGTAACGATGAAGCAGTCGATAGGAATAGCCTTTTGTACAGCGATTACTTTCAAGCAGAACCGGAAGATTCATTAAATCCGTACGATTTATTAATGCGAATACACTTCCCTTTGAAGAAAAGTCGTGCAATATCACAATTGGAAAAATTCAAAAATTATTGGGAAAATTATTCATTTTATGCAATATGGCGTAAGAAATTCATTGAAGATCATAGTTGTCAAGAGCAAGATTTATGGAAAGAGGTTTGCTAAATATTTTAAAATTTAAAATTTGTAAAGAAAGATTTGAAATTTTTCTACTACATAATGCAAATTATTAAGTTAAAAAAGAAGACAACGATTATTTGAAATTTTAAAATATAATTGAACAGCTAACTGATCGTTAATTTCTTTTCAGTTAGCTGAGTGATAACTATTTTAAGCATCCTAAGAATCAGTTATCCTTCCTGCTTTCTAATTTTTTACTGATTTATGATTTAATCAAGAGTTTTAATTTCATTTACAATAACCATTGATCGATTTCAATTTGCTTTTTAGCATGATGTTTAAAATATCATCTTAAATTAGCATTGATCAACTAATTATAGATCCACTGATCGAGGAAAAATTATTTATAACATAAATCGATTAAATTTGTACCCCGTCATTATCTCATATGCAAATTTCTTTACTACGACTAACATGCTAACATCTTTTACAAATATGACAACTACTAATCTTATCATTTAGAAAAAGATTTGTATGATAAAATAACTAATATCTTACGGTTTCTAAAGTGAAACAATTTAGATATAATTGAGATTATTACGTTTTTTCGGAAAATATATTGTTATTATACATTCTTTCATCTTTTATATTGTGTTTTGCATACGTGACATGCTTCTTATATTTTTCATGTACGTTTATCAGTATTATTCCATGATATGTGCGGTTTTTCCTACCTAAGTTTTTTGTAATAGTTAAGTTAGTTTTACCTGCTAAAATTTTTTTCATTAACACTGTTATTATTTTTATTAACAATTGCAAACAGCATTATGGTGGTTTTTTTTTCCAATTTTTCATGTCAAATTTTTAAACATTAAACAAAAAGACCAACTGACGAGGTAAATAAATATTAAAAAATAAAATGTAAATATCTTCGTACATTTCGTGCAATTTAATTTTCAAAAAAACAATTTTTTACATTTTTGATTAAGCATTTTTTGTAAAATTGATTAACGCGTTTAAAAAAGAAATATAAATATAATATTTTTTGTTATTTAAAATTCTTTTTTTCAATCACGTAAAATTTAAATTTGTTTGCAATATTTAAAGAAGTAAACAATATCAGCGATTGCTTTTTGCTTTCTTCCTCTTTTATAAATTAAAAAAATTGCACTTTTGGCTTCTTTAATAAACGTATAATTTGTTTAGAATTATTCTTTCGTACAATTTGATATAATTTATAATTTTTTAATTATTTTTAGCTTATCATACAATTATGAAACTTTCATGCAAAACAAAAATAATTCATTTAGCGCAAAAATAAATTATTGAATTTTTATTTCACTAGCAATTCTTGCTTAAAGTTTAACTGTAATTAAATCAAATTCAATATTTAAATTATTTCTTATTCAAATAATATAATCTATCTACTTATCCTTACTGGCTGATTCATTTTAGCTCTTATTTTATTGTAATTCATTTTATTATCAGTCAAAACTATTTAACAAATTTAATATTTTCTTTCTTTCTTTAACAATTTAATATTTTTCTTTCCTTCTTTCGAATACTTATTTATTCGTAACCAATTATTTACTTCAATTTATTTACTCAATTCAAAAACTACTATTGCCTAATTATTGTTGTTTACATGAAAATTTTAGTTTCACAACAAAAAATAATTTGTTGTGTTAAAAAAAGTAAACAATTTTAATTTACAGTTTTTTGTGGAATCAATACCTCATTTATTGATCAATTTATTCCTAACATTCTATGTTATTGGTGGTGCTATTGCATTTCAACTAATTGATGAAAATATACAGCATGAAAAATTTTACAGCGTTATTCAATTCACCTTCACCACTATTGCTACCGTTGGTATGTTATATTCATTTCTTTATTTATATTTTTAAATTTATAATTATTCAAGAAAATATCGCGAATTTAGTAGTAATTAAAAAATTTTCACATATTAAATCTTATAATTTCTTTTCTTTTTCATTCAAACAAAACGCATGCATTTTGACAATTTTTTTGATTACATAATTACATAATGATTGCTAAAATATTAATCATTTTTAAGAGATAACATTATACTTTCTGAAAATTAAACTAATCTTTCGGATGGAATAAATCAGTGATCAGTTGATTGGTTGTTTGATTGATCGGTTAATTTAGCGATATGAATGTAATTAAACAGGATATGAGATATGTAGTAGAATTAAAGCTGAAGATATTTTATTTCGAAATTATCACCAAACTTAAAATGTTTGATGTTATCTAAAGCGTAGAAAACATGCTGTAATTAATATGCGTGAAATAGAAATGATTCATTGTACTATATTCCGTCAATAATTGTGATCTCATTTCTTATGATCACTTCTTGAACTAATTACCCGAATGCACTTGATCATATAGTAATCTTCCGGAAGAGATTTTTATTCACAAACTGTAAATTTGTCCCATTTATTCATTTGTGATTGTAATTAGTTAACGATCAATGATTACTATAAAATATAAAAACTTATTTTTGCATTCATTTAATATTTTGTTTTTAAGATATTAATCTTATCATTTATCAGAACTTTACTCATTATAAACTTCTGAATTACGGTACACTACAAAAGTTGAATTAAATTACGGTAATTGCTACAGGTTATGGTAATATCGTACCAACAACAGATGCAAGCAAATTATTTTGCATATTTTATACATTGGTTGGTGTACCACTTCTTTTTCTATCATTAACAAATATTGGTCAGTTTATTGCGGAAGGTTATTGGATTTTTCTGGCATCACTACAAAGGACACAAGTATTGTTTATATATTCTTTTAGTGATAAAAAAAGATTAGGTAAAAATTGTCGAAAAAAATTTCTTATCCAAAATACCATGAAGATTTTGTTCGGTAAAATTCCACAATTCAATCTTTTTTTTCTAATCTTCAATGAGGTTAAAAATTTTGAATCCAGAAAGAAAACTAAAACTTCAGAAGTGATGCATAGTAGATTAATTTAAAATTAATTAATTACAAAGTTTTTCAAAGGGAGTTAATTGGAAAAGAAAGTGAAAACGTAAATGTAAACAAGTAAATAGTAATAATCTGGTGCAATCACAATTTAATTAATTTATGTTTGAAAATATTTTCATAATTTGATTTCAGCATATCGATGCACCAGATGAGCGTCGTTTACCGTTATCAATCGTTGTAACATTATTGTTAACACATTCAGTCATCGGTGGATTATTATTTCATTTTTGGATTGACCAAATGCCGGTCATTCCAGCAATTTACTTTAGGTCGATTATCATTTATCATTTATTCATAAGCAGATTGACAAACTAGAAAATTATTCATTTGCATCCTCTCTAATTGCTTATTTTCTTTCATTTTTTTTCATTAAAATTTTTAGCACTAATTAATGCGACAACTTTTGCCTATTTACTTGTTTACTGATTTTTGTTCCTAATTTTTCCTTAATTTTTAATTTTTTCTAGTTTTGTTTCAATTACAACAATTGGTTATGGCGACATAACACCAATACCAAATGATGCTATTCAAACATTCATTATTGTCCTTTATCTCGCAGTTGGAATGGTAAGCGGCACTGAAATATGATAATAAAATTTCATTTAAAAAAAAAAATGGAGAAGATTTCAAGATAGACTTGAAAGGAGTGAATTCAAAACGATACTCGTGGATTTGAAAATGATTCAAAAGTATGATGAATTGCAATATTGGCTTTTTCAATTATTGTTGGAAGATTAATGCACGTGTTGTAGCGAAAGCGTTGTTGATTGACAGACAAATTATTTGTTAAGATTTTT